CACCGTTCAGATTTTTAAAAGGGGCAGTTATGAGAAGGGAAGGGAGCTCTTTCTTTTTAATGGGGGAACTTATCATAATAAAAAGGGGCACTTATTAGAAAGGGAAAGGGGTAGTTATGAGAAGGGGAAGGAGCTCTCTTTTTTTAATGGGGGCACTTATCATAAGAAAAAGGGGCACATGTTAAAATGAAAGGTGTGCTCATCCGAGTTTAAAAAAGGGGTAGTTATTAAAAGGAGAAGGGGCACTTCTTACGAAGGAAAAAAGGGGCAGTTGTTTGTTTGTTTGTTTGTTTGATTGATTTTATTTCTGCGTTCAAAAATATACAAATTCAAAGTCAAAGTACAAAATTTCGAACAATAACAAATACAATGAATACAATGTTTACAAAAGTAATTAAATGAAAAATCATGTACAATTATATCATTCGATAAACATGTACGAAGCATACAATAACATAAGAAATATGAAATATTTTCAATAAATTAGAGAGGTAATTTGGAACGCAGGAGACCACCATCGTGAGCGGTTAGGCTGGAAATGGATGGCGGCCTCGTAAAAGAATTGGCGACATAACTCTCTTCGAAAAAACTGAGTGACCAAGAGGGTGCGGTGCAAGTGCAGGTGCAGTGAGCAGTTGCATGATAAAGAATAATTAAGTCACGGTTTTGTTATACTAATTTAAAGAAAGGGGAGCATATGATTGTATTATTTGTCGTTTAAGTGTAGCTTTTAAGGAGTAGATGGTTGAACAAGACTTTATGTTGTCGGGTAAATCATTCCAAATGTCCGGGCCAGAATGTCTAACAGATTTGTGTGTTATTGATAATTTGGGGTTTGTAAGATGGAAGTTTCCAGATATGCGAGTAGAGTATGAATGAACGGAATTATTAAACCTAAACATGTTATCAAAGGATGGTGGAAGCAGATTATTAATGTACTTAAACATAATAACTGCTACTTGAGTAGTGTTCAGATCGAAAAATTTTAGTGTTTTAAGTTTATAGAATAAAGGATCAGTGTGAGCTAAGAAATGCAAACCTGTACAAATACGTATGGCTTTCTTTTGCAGTTTGAAAATAGAATTAATTTTTGTCGAACCACAATTTGCCCATACACTATTACAATATGTTATATACGGGAGAACTGGCGAATTATAAAGTAGGAATAAGGTTGCATGGGGTCCCGGCCCCCCCCCCCCCACTCAGGTTTCAAAATGACCGCATGCGTGTTGCCAAAATGTCCTTTTCGTAACAAAAGAAAAAGGTCGAGCCGTATTGACTTTACACACCGGACTTTTGCTGAAAAGGGGGGGGGGGGGATGCTGAAAAAGGCTCGTATACAAAAGAAAAAGGTCGAGCCGTATTGACTTTACACACCGGACTTTTGCTGAAAAGGGGGGGTCGGTTGGAACACGCATATGCGTACCCTAAATAACACTGAGTGGGGGGGCCGGGCATGGGGTAGAAGAAACTTTAACTTGGAGATTATTCCAATACTTTTGGAAATGCACATTGTAACTTGGTGTAAATGATCATTCCAAGTCAAGGCTTCATCTATAAGGACACCCAAAAACTTGGAATTAGTTTTCTTCTCTAGTAGCATACCATCGATTTTAATATATATAGGTGTTTCTGTATTATGAGAATGATGTTTAAAATACATGAAATGAGTCTTTTTTGTATTAAGTGAAAGTTTATTGGATTTAAACCAATCGGATACTTTGTAAATTTCATAATTCAAAGTATTGTTTAACATATTAAGATCTTTATGGGAATAAAAGATATTTGTATCATCGGCAAATAAGATAAAAGAAAGAAGGGGGGATGTATTGATAATATCATTTACATAAAGAAGAAATAACAGTGGACCTAAGATGGAGCCTTGAGGAACACCGCATTGAATTAAAAGAGGATCAGAATCATAACTATTAAATGTAACATATTGTCTTCTGTTTGTTAAATAATCTTTAAACCATAAGAGTGGCTGACCCCGAATTCCATAATGACTGAGTTTGGAGAGTAGAATAGCGTGATTGAGCGTATCAAATGCTTTACTCAAGTCACAGAATATACCTATAACATGCTCTTTGTTAGCTATGGCACTTGTAATTTTGTCATAAATTTGAATTAATGCTAAGTCAGTTGAGTAATTTTTTCTGAAGCCATATTGATTTGAATTGAGTATTTTGTGTTTAGTGATAAATTTGTGTAGCCTATTATGAACGATCTTTTCTAAGACTTTGGATATACTTGGAAGTAGGGAAATTGGACGATAGTTACTTATTTCGTGAGGATCATCTTTTTTGAGTTGTCAAAGTAAAAGGAACACCTCTCAGTTTTGAACAGGGCAATTATCAGAGGTGAAGGGGGCACTTTTCAAAAGTGAAAAGGGGCACTTCTCGTACCTGAAAAAAAGGCACTTATTCAAGATAATTTCAAGATTTATGAGAATGGAAAATGGACACTTATTTCTATGTAAAAAGGGGCACTTTTGGGGGTATCTGAAAAAGTGGGGGGCACTGTGCCCCCCCCCCCTGCCCCCGGGAGGGCCGCCTCTGCATGCGTGTTACCAAAATGTCCGGTAAAGGGGTACTTTTCGTGAGACAAAGTCCGGCCCAAGAATTGTAAAAAAAAAAAGGAGTGTATTTGACTTTTCACCCGGAGATTTCTTTAAAAAGGGGTGTTTTTTTCTTTCTCTCATCTCTTTGGACTCCTGAGAAATTATTCAGAATTTAGGGGGTACATTGAGCATATTTCCGTATTTAGGGGGGTCTCCAAGGCAGGAAAAGCCTGCGAAAAGCCAGCGAAAGGGGGGTTTGAAATGTTGGCAGTCCTCAGATAGGGGTGCTTTCAAAAAGAGGGTTAACAAGCATACGCGTACCCTAAATAACACTGGGTGGGGGGGGGGGGGGGGGGGTTTGACATTGTCAACAACTTAAATGGCAATCCCTATCGCACTTCAAAATTATCATAGGGTTACTTGTTTCCGGTAATTTTGTCTTATATCCTTTAAAAATAATCCTTGATTTAGCTCATGCTGCGATGATGATTATAAACGTTTAGGTCAGTCAGGAACTCCATGACTACACAAGCCGATCGCCTGTCTGATTATCAAGATATTAATGATTGGAATTACAAATTTTGAAAACCGTTCGCCGAACAGTTTTCATAACACTACAGTCTATTAGGGAAAACGAGTATGCTAAAACCGGTCACTCAAAGATTTTTTTTACTTTTTTGAGGCACTTCTTGATCATTTTGAAGCGCGATTTTTTTTAGGGCTTCAATATTACACCATATCACAGACACTGGTAACATGTAGGACCTTGTATCTCAGATTTAACATTGTTAAACGATCCCTTTAAGAGTACACTTTTATGAACTAAGGGGAAAAACCACGCGAAATCCTTATAGGGTGTATTTTGGCTTTGACAGAGGAAATTCTCGTTTAGGAGGAAACCTTTGGTCACGCATGTTTACAGTATTTCTACATGACTAAGGCACCTGAGAAGATTATTAGCAATAAAAAATATATAAAAAAATCATCAGACCTGTTTAAATACTAATTTCACGCACATGATTTTGAACAAAAGTTTGAAACCAAAATGCTCGACAGAGACTTGCCGTATATTGCAGAAAATAATACATGAAAAGTGACTTCCCTCTAGATAAATAGAGATATGGTTGGGGTCAGTGGCGTACGCAGGATTTTTTTAAGGGGGGGGGGGGGGTCAACATTTTTCAATTTTTCAATCGGGCCGAAAATTTTGCAACGCCTCATCCAGGCGCAGAATAAGCCGGGGGGGGGGGGGGGGGTAAGAGCACATTTTTTTTGGGGGGGTCACCCTTTTTCACAATTTTTTTTAAATTGGGGGGAGGGGTATCAAAAATCACACACATTAACCCCCCCCCCCCCCCGCTGCGTACGCGCCTGGTTGGGGTTCGATACTGAGGCTGAGAGAAACAATCATTGAATTGTATTTGGTAAACAACGCTTACACTATAATTTAGGTCTATCAAATCCTAAAACTTTTACCCCCAAAAAACCCACAGAGAGTTCGATCAGGAGAGGATCATGAATAGTACTCGTGCGAAAATCATATCTGACCCGGGGGGGGGGGGTCTCATACGGTTTTGGGCCGTTCTAATGGGTCACTTATTCACACAAAAATCCCTAAATAAAACGTGTGCCCCAATTTTTAACAAATATAGGCCTATCCAAAACATGGATCCGTTTTTTCAAAAATTTCAAAATTGTGCAAAATGGGCCTTTATTTCAAGAAAAATCCCCCTCAAATGACCCTTAAAAAATATGGGTAGGGACTTCGAGGCTTGAGCGTTAATGAGCGACACACCCCCTCCAAACCCCCGGGTACCTGACCAGTCCAAGTACAAGTCTCTGACCTTAATAAACCCGAGTACGTCGGCGCGCGCACGTATTTGGTAACCAGTGACGCCACTACCATTCTTCTCAGCTCGGTCTGGGAGCCAAAACAACTCGTTCTGTAGATTATTCGTCCTAAGAAAAATCGTCCTCACAGTAGAGTCAGTGCTCCTCATCCCATCTGCATACACTTTAGAAGCTAAAAAAACACATATACTAATTATTTATATTACCGTATCTCCACCACCTCCAGTCAAAACTCTTCTTGGGAGTATTTAGGAGGAAAAAAATCCAAGATCCAAGATCTCATTTGATATGCAGAAACAAAAATAGGAGGCGGGCAAAAATGGGATGAAGACAGTATTCTAATAAAGACATACACTCAAAATGGCCTAGATCTATAAGGCACCTTTCTTTCAAATTCTATAGATTCGTTGAAATTTTTACTTTTAGTGAAACTATAATAGTAATTTCTAACATAAAGTTCAAGGATTTGACAAACAATAGGATGGTAATCGCCCCCTGACAACACTGACCTGGGATCGTGAGCAGGTGGTGCGCACACTCGACACCTTGATTTTTTTATTGGACGAGTTGCTTAAAAATATAACAGGTGCAAAAATAATGTAAATAACGAAGACAGGTGCTAGCTATGGCTGTGTTACGTGCAAACCCAATCCCATCGACCACTCCGCCAGCCTTATGTCGCATCATGTAATCATAGACCTGTCGCTTAAATGGCAGGGATTGGTGAGTGAAAAATGTAGTGTTTAGGCCTAATAAACTATGTAAATTAGTGTACGCGAAAGACGTAGTTTTCGGCCAAGGCCAGGGAGAGTGGAATAGCTTCGTTTCGTGTTTGCATGACTGTGACTGTGAGTCTGTGGACTGTGATATGAGCTGAGTGTAGTACATGTAAGAATCAGAATGTCATGATTGTGCTTCCGCGTCCAGCAGTCACTGTTGCCTAGAAATCTACTTAATTGATTGTAAAGGAAAACTATTAACTGCTACTGTTAGAGCTATATGATTCATACATTTTGTTAAATGCAACGGCAAATCCAATCGCAAATCCAAAGGCAAATCCAAGGCAAATGTATTTTTGACATAATAATCAGGGGGCCGTTTCTCGAAACCAACTCGATGACAGTCATATCTTTGTCGGCGACCTACGGAGATGTCATGAAGCGGATAAACCGTTTCACAAAGCCGGCCATGACAGACATGATATCGATATTTCGCGATACTAGCAGCTCAAGAACATAGTCTTTGTCACGATCCATTTGATTTATCAAGAATAACCCAAAACAAGTTTTGGGGCTAAAATTGTTCAAAAAGAAATATATACAAATGAATTCTCCTAAAATAAATAATAAATAGTGTCATTATCATATTTACATCATCAAACAATTTGCATATTTCTGTAAAGATTCTTAAATTGAAGAAAAACCGGTGAGTGTTTTTTTCGACAGTCGAATCAAAAGTTAGTTGAAGGATACCGTAATGTGATAGTTTATAGATACGTACTTTTTGTTCATTGTGACGAGGAATTTTAGGCAAAATGTCTTTTCTCAGCCAGTTTTTATTCTAGAGTCTCATAAATACTCGTTATATAATTGATTTGATATTGAAAATATAATTTGGAAGAAGTAATTAGAGAGGGAATAATAATGCACATAGGCCCCAAAGGTATGACGGTATCCTAAGAAAAGACTATGGATCGACTATGAAAAACGGTGTGTAACATTCTTACCTCTCTTATTTATATGTTATAGTTTAATGATTTGTGATTTAATGTTTATATTCAGCTTTTTAAAGTTTCTGTATAATTTGTATTCTCACTTTTGTACATTTGCATTTCGCATCCCAGAGAATTACGTACCGAACTCGTCTATATTTTTCTCAAAATGATAGTGAAACTAATCGTTCATTTCGCGGCCCATGGAATGGCAACAAGCTGACTTGTGATGGCGCTTTACAGCAATTAAAAAGATATGACAGGTTCGGAGCAGTGACAACTCGCTTGTCGCGGAAGTTGTCGCTCATCTTGGCAAAGACGGCTTCGTGAAACACTTAGCTGACAAGTTGCGTGACAGTGGCGAGATGTCGTTGATCTTGTAGTTATGACGGTTTCGAGAAACGGCCCCCTGTTTTGCACGGATTATATTAAGCCTTCGATGTGTAGTTGTGTTGTGTGCGGTACAATTGGGTTCCAGGTGAACTTGTATCACCTGTGTATATAGATCTACAATACATGACTTATAGTGGATGAGAAAGCAACTTGGATTAACACTGCGTATCGGGTTAGGCTGCTCGTTTATATGGTGTACGTGTTGCAACCATGTTTCACGTAGACCTATGACCAAACTTCACGCTCGGTTCATGATCTCTGTAACTTGAGTGTACGTTTTTAAAAATACTGATACTGAGTGATACCTCCACAGAAAGAGGAACCAATTCCTAAAAGGCACCTAGTGATATATTTTGTGGAATTGTTGAGAAATTATTAAAACATTGACAGAAGATCAGCAACTTTTGCAGTATTTTAATTTGTACACACAAAACAAAAAAAAGTATCCACCGACAAGGGACTGGAAGTCTTCATATACTATAGAGGGAAATGTATTCACCCTAATGATAGTATTCATCCAATGTTTCAGTAGCTACTTCTAGATTTATGATTAATATTGATGAAATTTCTTCAATTAAAATGTATTATAACTTGAATGAAGCTTCATATGATGTCTTCACTTCTCTCTTTCCTTTTTTTTTTCTTCCTCTTTTGATAACAGGGATACCATGTTAGGCACCTGGTGTGAAACATCTGAATGGGAATGGAATTCTAATCATGATAGCATGCACATTTTGATGCATGCTATCATCAGAGCAATTAAGAATCTGTCATCTAGCATGACTTACAGAACGTCACAATGGCCTTCTACCAGTTTCTGCACTACCCTTCAGTAGACTGTCTTCACAATGCCTTTTAGAAAAGTGCAGGTGTCCCTGAAGGCCAGAGAGGCAATGTCGCGTGGAAGCCCTTCTGGACAATCAGCGATGGGAAACAGACAACTTGTACCCTCAGCTCCCCCTGGAAGAGGCAGAAATTCTCTGTTGAATAGGCCTACAAAGAAAAATGGTCTTGCCCTGAATAAAGCAGTTGGTGATGCAGGGTTTCAGAAGAAGTCCTCATCTGGAGGAATAACAACGGTGGGAACTACAGGTATGATTCCTTTCCAGAGAGCTTCCAGGAGAGAACCGCATGTGGAACCACAAGCTACTGATGGCTATAAGAAGATGGTGCTTAAGAAGAATGATGTTTCTCAGAAGCATTCCACTGAACAGCATGATAATGAATACAATAATCCCACCTTCGGCAACAGCAATGAAAAAGGCATTTCATCCGCATCGGATTCAAAGACCTTGCCTGTACAAAACAATCAGAAAACAAGACCAGCAGATCTCCAAGGAGGACAATCACATACAAGAAGTGTGAGGCCCAAACTAAAACGGCCATCTGTTCCCAAAGACCAGATAAATAGTGGATCTTCCCCAAGGACTTCCAATCGTTCAGGTGCCACAAAAGGTGTTTTAGGTGCTAATGATAGAAAACCAAGAGAGGTGGAAGTAGTTGGTGTATCTACCACTAGTCCAAGAAGAAGAATTGTGAGGCGAAAATCACAAACCCTTGCAGCTGAAAGAAAAGGTGACACTAATGATGTTCAGTTGTCTTCATCGATAAAGGAAAATGAAAGAACTGATGGTGTTCCTGTGAGCTCATTAGAAGTTACTGCAAATGGAGACAACCCACAAGACAATTTGGCTTCTTCACATGCTGTAAAAAACTCTTTAGATAGCAGTATACCAATGACTAGAACAAGAACGCAGCCCTTGAATCAGAGCTTACCAGAAAGTCGACTTAGAACAGAATTAGCAGTTGGGAATGACACTTCCCGATATAATTCAAATGAACAATCAGAGGAATTTTCAAGACCGGATGGCACTAGACCTTTTTCAAGATCAAGAGCACAGCCCTTGAATCAGAGCCTACCAGAGAATTTGCTTAGATCAGAATCAACAATGGGAAGTGGTGTTGCCAGACAAACTTCAAATGGGCAGTCTGAGAATATTTCAAGGAGCAGTAACGAAATACCATCTGAAATGCTGCCTAGACCCCTATCTTCTGCTACAGTACCACTTAGGTCAAGTTTATCAAGAAATGGGAACAGTCAAAGTAGATTTGAGACTGGTAGACCTACTATTCAACCAGCAACAGCTGTAGCAACAGATTTACATGAATCCAGCCAATCTCATGTCACAGTCGGTCAAGAAAGACAGCCAAACAGTGTCAGAAGAAGCCATGAAAGATTGGGAGCTGGATCTGATGGGACTAGTATGGGTGAAAGACCTAGGCTTGTCAGGCAAAGTGTATCTAGTTTGACATCAAGAGCAAGACCAAGAGAAATAATTGATGTCAATTCAGCAGTATCAGATTTGACCACCAGAGTTCCTCGGTCTCCAAGAACGCAACCTGGAACAGTTGGAACAAACTCAAGAACTGATGTTACTTCATCCAGAGTAGAGCTTGATACTATTTCAACCGTCGAGGACATATGGGTTCCTCAAACTAGGCCAGCTGGTAGAAACCCTGTGTCTTCCATACGTGGACAGACTCCAAACTCCTCAACGCATTTGCCATTATCGTCAGAACCATCAATTACTCCCCAAGGAGGACGAAGTGAGTCTCCCGATGTGGTATTCAGAGACAGTCCTGTGACAGGATTATTACATAGAAGACAATCCAGGTTGTCATCATCTGACAATGAAAGGTACCCCTCGGTGAGAAACACGACCAGAAATGCCCCAACTATTCCAAGCAGAAGTGGACTGTACCGAGCTTTGTCGGTAAATGATGAAACTGCTAATGATACTAATACTACTGAAATCAACAGAACTAACACACCATCACAAAATCAAAGAGATACAAGGACATATAGCAGAATTGAAAACATTGACCATGATGATGTGGTCAGCTGGAGACAGATTGAAAGAGAACACTCCTACCCATCGAGAGAACCCAGACAAAGACTGATCTATCAGGATCGTAACAGAGGTCGCGAGACAATCCTTAACCGTAATACTTCAGGACATAGGGTTGTCCCACCCAGCATGGATTCAGTTCCAGACGTAGCTGATGAGCAAGAATTTCCTCCACTCGCTGGCTCGTCTTCTGTTTCTAGGGGATTACTTAATGGCACAACCCAGGTCCAGGCATCTTCAGATACTGGCCCGGATTACGGGTTTACATCACGGAACAGGAGAAGCGAGACACCTCCACCAACACCTACTCCTGGCAGGAATCCTTCTGAAGAGAGGTTAGTTCTGGGGGGCATTTCACTGAACTTGTCATTCGTGACAAATGGCAGTTTTTGTTATAAGGTACTGAAATCCTTGCTTCTGATTGGTTATCAGCAGATTCGTCACTGATTTGTGTCATTTGTCATTGAAAAAAGGCTTTGTGAAACCATTCCAGTTTGACATGTCCAAGATGAAAGTTGCACACAGTCGTGTTTGCCTAAAATTAACTGATATACATCATTTTTAAATTACTTTTGATTAAAGGGGTTTCACAAGTATCATAATGATGATAAAAACAACAATATTCATATTGACCAAGGGTAGTCTCACTCTCATCCCTCATCAGTTTCAATACTGTTTTTCCTGAGGGCCCAGCAATAATATCATTAAAGGTAGGAGAACTATTGAAATTGGCTGTTTTGTTTTTTTAAGTAAAATTTGTTTATTTTTTAAAAGGATGGCAAGCTTTGACAAGGTACTATTCTCTCATTTTTCATGTCTCAGATTGGCAGAAGATGATCCCATGCACATGGTAGACCACCTTGTTTTGTTGGCATCTCCAATCTTCGGTCCTCTCATGCTTCAAGCATCTCCTGCAGTACTCTTCAACATGCTGTCCCGTGCCAGAAGAGACTTTGGAGGAGAATTCGTAGAACTGCTGATTGAGGTACATGTAGATCAAGTATCTTTTATATAAACCAAATCCTAAATACAAAATTATACACAAACCTGATGGTGTGCCCCCTCCCCCCCTAAAATAATAATAATAATAATAATAAATAAACAAAAAAAATGATTAAAAACATAAAATTAAAATTAAAAAAATTAATTTAAAAGAAAAATAATTTTTCAAAATCTCAATTCCCTCTCTCTCTTTATTTTTTACATGGATTTACATGGTAAAAGATTGTGATATGATATACAATCTAGCGATGATCTCTATATATGACTTTATGCCAGAAATTAATCTACATTGTGTACGTAATTACCAAAAACTTCCAGGGATATGAGGTCACTGAAGAAGCATTCTGTTTCCTTTGTTCCCCTGTATAGAATGTTGTGCTGAACCTTCTCGCACAGCATACGTTTGATGCTACCAACCCGACTCAGAACAACAATGGCGCACCTCCCCCTGCCGACCAGGAGACCATTGAGTCCTTGGAAAAGGTCACTGTTACCAAGCAGATGGTTTGTAAGTAGACAAAGATTATCCTGTTTTTATTTTCAATCGGGGCTTGACACTCATGGTTGCCGTAAGTCTGGACTCCCAAAGGTTCATATTTTTAACATTCAGCTCCCTTCCAAAAAGGTGAGTGTGGAGCCAAGGTTTCCATAAAAGAATTTATTGAATTAGTCTTGAACCCAAAAAAAAGCGGTAACTTCAAATACATACATTTTGTGATATGGATGTAAAATATCAACATGTATACAGCAGTTGTACATTTTGGTATTTGTCTAGCAAGAAATTGTCTTCTTCTTTTGAATGAAAAGCAGTGAATAAACCTGTCAACTTGTTTTGTCTTCATTTTTTTCTCACCAGTTACATGTAGATATGATTGCAGTGTAGAAGGGATAACAAAGTATCTAGTGAATTATGGACGGATTGGGACATCACATTTGTGATGAACCTGCGACGTATGAAATCAGAACAAAGTACTTGTGCCGTAAAAGAAACAATGATCTAAATTTGATCTTGGTAATACATGTATGTATGTCAAGAGGAATTGATTGACGATGATTTTCAAGATTTACAAACTTGTCAGTAAGGCATGATACATGTAGGCAAAAGCATTTACCATATTAAAAGTGACACTGTTACTGTTGTTTCACAGCTGAAGTCTGAAGATGTATTTTGCTCCATCTTTGTTCTTTCTGTTGTCAATACATGAAGAAGATATAATCAACATTGTTGTTACTTTCATTCGTTTTGCTGACTTTTAATGCACGATGAGGGTGATTAATAGAATTGATACCGTTGTTATGTCTTCCAGCTGAAGATGCATTCTGTTCCATCTGTCATTGTGAATACATGATGGAGGAGATTCTGGATCAGCTCCCTTGCAAACACAACTTCCACAACAAGTGCATCACAGTGTGGCTTCAAAAGGTAAGTAATTCTTTGCTTTAAAGGTAATACAAAGTTTTGGGTAATTTGGAAAATTAGGTGGATAGTGCTTCTTTACAATTTTGATATATTTGGATGCCCCTGTGGATGTATTACAAGCACTAGAAAATGTAGCCCCTAAAACATTGAATATTAAAATTTACCGGTGCTCCCTGTAAATCTTGATAAATTTCAAAAAGTGCCTACGGCCGTACAATGGTAGCTGCGACCATGAAAATCTCAGAATTTGTAGTTGTGATATATAATTTCCAAACGGGAATAGCTAATTGGTCGAGTTTAGTCCAGAAACATTGTTCTATAGCTTCATTGATATCTTGACCTTGAGAGGGAGCTATACAACATAAAGAGTTTATTATTTACAATTTCATAACTTTAGACTGGATTTCAACCGCGACAACGATCACTGAATATTGTAGGATCGCCTATATGCTTCCAACATGTTCATTTGATCCAAATTCATGATCCCATACCAAAACTTTGTATAACCTTTAATCCACCTCCCCACTCTCTCTCTCTCTCATGTATTTTTGGGAAAAGACTATAAAGAAAAATAAACAAATAAAAAAACAAAATTAAATCAAAATGGGGATGGGGCCCTAGTGTCAATGACTGTTTCTTCCCCAGTTTTCAAGTCTTTATTCATATGCTGTGTTTCTTTCTAATGTATTGCAGTCTGGAACGTGCCCAGTGTGCCGTCACAAGCTTTATACAGACAGCGTCGACTAGCTACCATCATATTCACCTTCATCAAACCCGGCGAGGCTCTCTAAAAACACCACTGCCATGCTTCTCCAGTAAAACTAGATGATGGAGATTTTAGTATCAAAAATACACATTTGCATTATAAAGGACAATTTGTATGCGAAGCTAGGTTTAAACTTTTGTCCCGAATGGTTTAAAACGGTGGAGGTCTAAGTTTTCTTTTTCTTAAACATGTTTTTAGGCCCCAGGTAAGGTTTGACTGAACTTGTAGAATATGGAACTTAGAGTTTATGATTGACCCAGTTGTACATATACCGGTACGAGGACATCGGACATCGCTGAGAGTTATTTTGAAATCCAGATAATATTTTTCTACAGTTGCATTAGATTGATTTGAACATCCTGTAATCTACATTTACATTTTATAGTCCATTGTGCATTGGACCTTGCAGGCTCATGATTGAAAATTGAAATCAGGGTTAAGATTTATGAGGAGTATAATCAGGTTTTTTAAATGGAAACTTTTTTGTTTTTGTTTTTTTGGTGTTTGTGCAGATGTCTTTCATGTACTTGTACACAGCCATCTACATCTACATGCATGTGCAGTCCTTCACCATTGACGTGCCATAAGATTTCAATTAAAAAAAAAATGACATTTGAAACATCTGTCCTTAGAATTAAGACAAGATTATCTCCAGTACACCACCTCATTTCATAGGAACTATGATTTATCTCATCCATTATTTAAACATCTTATTTGTTTAAAAAATATTTGGACATCCTAATCAAGTTATTGATATATGATAGTAAGATGCCAGAATGCTGAAATTGCATGCCTATGAGTGGATTTCTGTCTTAAAGTTCTGGTCCCATTTGACTGATAGCGATAACTTTAAAGTGCCATCCCACCGATTAAAGGTAAAGACCAGTTATGGTCATGCGATTGCATTGTGAAAGAAACGTGGAATCAATCAGAAAAGGATGATCATCTAGCATATAAGTATTGGTGTGTACTGCAAGGTTCTGGAATCATCAAAATGATAAGAAATTTGGCCCAATCTTGGTAAAGTTACAAGCACTGTACGCAGAAAGATGTATATGGAACTACGCGACACGTGCGGGACACGTGCGTTATATTTATTAGGTCCAAATAGATACAATAATTTACCAAATATATCAATTAGTAGGCGGTTTCTCTGCAAAATTTGTATGATCACGTATTGGTCAAAACATATCCTTTCACATGATTGGTAATACAAGCTTACATTTCATTTTTTGAGAGGGGGCCGTTTCCAAAACTGGTTTTTTACCTTTAAAGAGCCCACAGCACCAATCTGTCTCAGATTGGTGGCCTATTCAATAACTATTCCACATAAACCTCGGGAGACTAATTTAGGAGACTGATTTACAAATTATAAACTATTGTTGTCAGTAGTGAAATTGGAGTATTATGTCAAATATCAAATTTTACGAGAGAAATGAAATCATGAAATTACTGGAGGAGCACTGCGTCATGACCTTGTCTTAAATGTACAGAAAATATTATGCAGTCAGATTATGAAGGTGTTTGTGTACCTCCACCCACCGAAGGTCGTGCAGGAGTTATGATGTTTTCGGGTTGTCGGTCTGTCCCTCTTATATGTTTTTGCAATATATCTCAAGAACCATTTGAGGTATGACCTTCACACATGGTGATAGTAGGTATTACCATAGGAGGACGATCTGATTAGAGTTTAGGGTGTGTGGGTCATACCGTAAATAATGTATAACCTGCATCTGTATATTAAACGCCCCCCAAATTTTTGACCCGCCGTGGTGAAGAAAAAAAAAAGGAATATTTAGCTCCTCATGTTTTTCGTGCAAAATTACATCAGGATAATTAGAATAGGGTTAATAATCACTGAGTTACAAAAAGCACAATAACTTTCTTTCCATTTGTTGTGTGTTTTCACTTTACTAAATTCTTTCTTTTCGTTTTTTATTTTCCATTTGGGAATATGAGGTGTAATTTGGCATGAAAAAGAAGAGGGTCTAAAATGTGGGGTGTGGTTAAAACATGGGTGCGGTTTATACAATAGTATTTTGATATTTCGAGAAAGCTTCTGATCATGTCTTATCTTTAGAATTCAATTGTTTTCTGACCTTCTGGGTCATTTTCCTTGCAGAGCTCCATAACAATCATTAGAAAGGTTTCATGGTGCTTGCAGAGGTTTTATTATTAAGAGTAATATATATATATATATATATATATATAAAATGTAAGATATGAAGTTTTTCCATGGCGATGAGTACTTGAAATTCACACAAGACAGAATGAAGATCTACATTTTTCTAAAACTTGTTAACAGATTTTTTAAATATTTTTTTTTGTGTCTTGTGAAACATAAAATGTTTTATTCTGAATTCATGTACTCGGAAACAGTTGTCAATGTTTTGTTGGTGCTCTGTTGGAGGAGAATTCCAAGTCAATTTTGAAGTGATTGTCTAGCCTTGTGTGGTCTTAACAAACACTGTTACATTTGATTAACATTCAAGTACTTCCATGTGAGTATAATCAGAAATAGTCCAACGTCAAAATCATGGATGTCAAAATGGTTACCAGTGTTTGTGTTTATTCATTTGTACATGTATGTGCCTAATGTATACATTTTCATATGCTCTGAATTTTTCAATTTCTTAATGTAAAGATAATCAAGTTTATAAATGGTTAAGTCTTTCATTTTCAGTAACGTCCTGCAGCTTTTTGTTTGAATGGTGCATGTATTGCCTTTTTTTTTTTAAATACAGCAATATTGTAAGAAACTATGAAAAAACAATTAAGAATATAATTGTTTAATTGATTTGATAGGAGCCAACAAGGTAATATTTGGTCCAAGACTTAAGCTTGAAAGAATTAAAAAAATGTTTAATGGATTACCTAGACAAAGAAATTAATGGATAGTGCTTTTTTGTGGATGTTTTGTTGGACAGCTTTGTAGAGAGCTGAAAGATGGCCTGTGGCACTCATGCAGTTGTGTTCACATTTAGTGTTTAAAATGCTCATTATTTTTCCACACAGAGTGTGGTAAGTTGATGCACTGTTGCACTGTTAGAATACCAAGTGCAGTGGCATCTATAATGACTGTCGGCTAAGTAGACCATTTTTTTAGTGTATACTTCTGTAAGATACATTTTATTTCCTTTTGTACAGCTATAGGTGCAGTGAATTTTATTTACCTTACCTTTACTGCTCAATATTTGCTGCTTCCAGAAAGTAAGAAAGTTGTGCCAAGGCATCAATTCTTAGTCAAAAGGAACGAGCATACCAATATTGAGAGTTGATGTTGAAAATGGGAACATCAGACTTTGTTCCATTAAGATGTATCTTCTAAGCCCTATACATTATTAAGGTATGTGTACTCCAAATTCAAAAAATGGCTCTTCGCATTTTCTTTGGTTGAGAGGGGGGGGGGGGGGGGGGGTGGGGGGATGAGGCCCATACATGTGAAATAGTGTACACCAACCTGGAAGATAGATGCCATTTTGCCTTTTGAAGAATATTATGTTAATTGTCATAACTTTTCATTGTGAACTTCGCCCTCTGGTTCCTCTCGGACTGTATATGATTTTCTTAAAGAATGTAAAAAATTATTCTACTAGTCTGAAATTGTAACATAAAGATATATATATTTATGATACTGTAATATGTATTAAAATCTTGGCTTGAGTTTCAATGTGCGATTAAAGTCGGGAGTGATTTACACAATGGAGAATTGCGTGTTGAGATTTTATTGGTTCTATACGAGTAGAGATATATACATGTTACATATATTACAAGTTTCTTTTGAAAGCAATAACATTTGTATAATGCTCATAGTTATATTCGTCTCAAGGAATGCCAAACGCGCCTAACGGGGCGAAAACAATTTGGAATTCACACTGCACCAAATTCATTAAACAACATTAAATACACATACAATTAAATATACAACAAGGAGATTATAGAATCCTGACATGGTGCTCTTTATTTTGCTTCAAGATTTCGTCTTAATGTCAATGCCGTTAATTCTTAGTAAACTCATTTAATGATGTATGACGGAGTTGTTTGTAGTATACGTGCAAATTGAACATTTTCTATTCTCTGTCTTTTATTCTTCTTCGACGTCTTTTACTTCTTCTGCTTCTTCTTTCTTCTTCTTTCTTCTTCTTCTTTTCTTCTTCTTTCTTCTTCTTCTTCTCCTGCTCCTGCTCCTCCTTCGTCTACTTCTTCTTTTACTTTTTCTTCTTCTTCTTCTTCTTCTTCTTCTTCTCTCCTCTTCCTCCTTTTTCGTCTTCTCCTCCCTCTTCTTCGTCTTCTTCTTCTTCTTCTTCTCCTCCTTCGTCTTCTTCTTCTCCTCCTCTTTCTCCTTCTTTTTCTTTTTCTTCTTTCTCTTCTTCTTCTCCTCCTTCTTCTTCTTCTTCTTCTTCTTCTCCTCCTCCTTGTTCGTCTTCTCCTTTTTCTTCTTCGTCTTCTTCCTCTTCTTCTTCTCCTCCTTCTTCTTCTTCTTCTCCTCTTCCTCCTTTTTCGTCTTCTCCTCCTCCTTCTTCTACGTCTTCTTCTTCTTCTTCTTCTCCTCCTCCTCCTTCTCCTCCTCCTTCTTCTTCTTCTCCTTCTTCTCCTTCTTCTTCTTCTCCTTCGTTTTACAAGTTTATTAATTTTTGCAACAATAGTCCTCCTTGAAACAACGAGAAATGTTCGCATTTGCTGTGTTGATGAGAAACGCATGATAATGCAATCATCTCACATTCATTGATTTGAGAATTTTAGCGGAAAGGAAATTTGTAAGACAAAGAAAAGTAAGAATGTCCGATTTCTTCATAATATCTATGGCTTCATCGTACGTCAATCAAAAGGTTCGTTCTACCTTCCATGCGTTATTAAAAAAACATGACCTTAATTAATTTTATCTGGGCCAATCTTCCTTCTGTACACACAATTATGCCCACAACACGTCCGGACTTCAATTCATTATACTTTTGTTTTTGAGTAGATGAAATCAAGGCCTCGGGTAATAATCATTTGATTTCCCGAAGATGGCAGTTGTGTGAAAAACAGATAAAAAAGACAGTGGCAGATCCAGGAAGTACATGGGGCAAGTGCCCCCCTCCTACCAAATCTAAGCTGGCATAATCATAAGCACACATCAAGCATAAAAGGAAATACCCCCCCCCCCCCCCCCCCCCGTTGTGGATCATATTTGAAACCCAAATGAGCCTCCAACTTTTCTGATTATCTTTATATATAACCATATAGACTATATAAAAGCATGACCTTAATTAATTTTATCTGAGCCAATCAT